ACACCCTCGGTGCCGACACTCCTCTGTGCAGCATCCCTCAGTACTGAAACCCCTCTGTGCATCACTCCCTCAGTGTTGACCCCCCTCAGTGCAGCATTCCCTCATTGCTGAGCCCCCTCACTCAGTTCTGACCACCCCTCAGTGCAGGACTCCCGCAGTGCTTACCCCATTCTGTGCAGCACTCCCTCAGCGCTGACCACCCTCAATGTGACCGCTCTCAATGCAGCACATCCTCAGTGCTGACCCGCTTAGTGCTGACCCCTCCGCCTCACTTCAGCACTCCCTGATCATCTAATAGTGCATCACTCCCTTTATATGAACCCTTGGACTGTGCAGCACTGCTTTAGTACTGACTCTCCAACAAGATAATTTCAGAGAGATGTGCTCCCATCAAATTGACCCTCTGATACTGGAGCATTTCCTAAATATTGACCGTCTCACAGTGAAGCTCTCCCTTAATATAGACCCTCTGACAGGGCGGCTCTCTTTCAGTACAGGCCTTCTCACAGAGCAGCACTCTCTCATCATTGACCCTCTGACAGTTTAGCGCTCCCCTAAATACTGTCAGTGGGTCAATACTGAGAGAATGCTGCACTGTCAGAGTCAGCTCCCCGTAGTACGATCAGACGTTCAGTATTAAAGGTATGCCGCACTGTGAGTGGGTCAGTGTCGGTGAATTCTGCACTGCGACAGGGTCAACCATGAGGAAGATCTGCACTGTCAATGTAATAGGGTCACAACTGAGTGAGTGCCTCACGATCAGAGGGTCAGGACTGAGGTTTTGCAGCACTGTCAGAGTGTCAGATCTGTGGGCGTACATAATTGTCAGAGGGTCAGTACTGAGCTGGTGCCTCCTTGTAAAGGGGTCAGAATTGAGACAGTGCTACAGGATTAGAGTGTCAGTCCTGTGGTAAAGCAGCACTCTGAGGGTCAGTACTGAGGGAAAGCTTCATTATCAATGGGTCAGTTCTGAGGCTGTGCTACTTTGTCAGAGGGCCATACTAATGCGGTGCCTCATTGTAATGGGATAAGAATTGAGGGAATGTCGCACATTGCATCACTAGCTCATCATTGACCGTCTAACAGTGTAGCACACCCTTAATATTGACCCTCTGACAGTGCAGCACTCCGTCATGGCTGACCCACCACTGAGTGCTGAGTCCCGCTTAGTGCAGCGCTCCCTCAGTGCGGAGGCCCCCTCAGTGCGGCACTCCCTCAATGCTCACCACCGTCTGTTCCGCACTCCTTCAGTGCTGACCCCCCTCAGCGCAGCAGTCCCTCAGTGCTGACTCTCCTCTGTGCAGCATGCTCTCAGTTCTAACCCCGCTCAGTGCAGCATTCCCTTAGTGCTCAGCCCTCCCACCTCAGTGCTGACCACCGTCCCTCAGTGCTGACACCACCGCAGTGCTGAGCCCCCTCAGTGCTGACCACCCCAAACAGTGCTGACCCCACCCCCCTCCACCTCCCCTAGAGCAGCGCCCCCTCAGTGCTGAAGCCCCTCAGTACTGACGCCCCCTCAGTGCAGCACTCCCTCAGTGCTGACCGTGTCAGTGCAGCACTCCCTTAGTGATGACCCCACTCTGTGCAGGACTCCATCAGCGCTGACCCCTCTCAGTGCCCCACATCCTCAATACTGACCCTCGGACAGTCTCATAGCACTGGCCCTCCCTGAGTGCAGCCCTCCCTTCAGAGCTGACCCCTCTAAGTGCTGACCCCCACTCAGTGCAGACCCCCCTTCAGTGCTGACCCCACTCTGTGGAGCACTACCTCAGTGCTGTCTCTGCTCTGTGCTGACCCCCATCAGTGCAGCCGCTCCCTCAGTGCTGACCCCCTGAGTGCGCCACTTCATCAGTACTGACCCTCGGACAGTCTCACAGCACTGACCCTCCAACAGTGCAGTACACCCTCACGGCTGACACCCCTCAGTGCAACACTCCCTCAGTGCAGAACCCCCTCAGTGCCCCACTTCCTCAATACTGACCCCCTGAGTACGCCACTTCTTCACTACTGACCCTTGGACAATCTTACAGCACTGACCGCCCCTCAGCGCAGCCCTCCATCAGTGCTGAACCCCCCCTCAGTGTAGCACTCTCTCAGTGCTGACTACCCTCAGTGTGACTGCCCTCAATGCAGCACACCCTCAGTGCTGAGCCGCTTAGTGCTGACCCCCCGCCTCACTTCAGCACCTCCTGATCATCTGATAGTGCATCACTCCCTTTATACGAACCCTCGGACGGTGCAGCACTACTTCAGTACTGACCCTCCAACAAGATAATTTCAGAGAGATGTGCTCCCATCAAATTGACCCTCTGAGACTGGAGCAATTACTTAATATTGGCCCTCTCACAGTGAAGCTCTCCCTTAATATAGACCCTCTGACAGGGCGGCTGCATTTCAGGACAGGCCTTTCCACAGGGCAGCACACTCTCATCATTGACCCTCTATCAGTGCAGCACTCTCTTAATATTGAATTTGTGACAGTGCACAACTCCATTAAAATTGACCTGAGCACTCCATTAATATTTGCCCTCTGACAGTGCAGCTCTTCCTCAG